CAGGCAATAAAACGTCATAGACGTATAACTGTAGCGAGCGAAATTTCTAGGGAGCAAATTAAGCTGAAAAAATCTTCTAGAGACAGCTAGAAAGGAATTGTACACCACCCCAAAATAAGGCAAGTTATGCAGTAAATGTTTCATTTATTGGTCTTCTTCCATTACTATTAGGGTTAAAAGACATCTTGTCAATAAGAAAAGTATATTTATGGAGGACTGATGTCTTTCAGAAAGCTGTCCGTGTCACAGATGCCTATAGCAGTGGTCATCGCCTCACGAAAGCAGGTGATGAAACCCCGTACAGATGCATGCATCTCCCCATGAACCCTTGGATCATCAGGTATTACTGTCACTTTATTACCCAGACCTGTTATTAGCTGAAGCAAGGTGATCAAGCTAGGCACTTCAGAAAAATGTCAGAACAGAAGAGTGTTCCTTAGGGTTTCAAGGGAAGAGAGTATGTGTCTTTCCAAGTCCCTTCACAGAGTCATTGGGGGGGGGGCGGATAGAAGATGCCTGTGAACTGGGAGCTTTTGCCTAACCCTTCCTCTTGCTAAATTTGAAAACTCTTGGGTGTCCAATTTTTAACGTTCCTATGTTGGCTAAGGGAGTAGCTTTCCTCAAGGTCCAAATAAGGAACCATCACCCACGCAGAACAAAAAGCAAACAGAAAATCTCACAGTGGAATCAGGACTTTGGCTTCTAAACATTTCCCCATTTTATAGCTTCCTTATGTTTTCAGATTCTTTTTTTGGCTTCCCTCAGCACACTCCCGGCATAGATAAGTCCAACACAGCGGGTAACAGATCATCCATCTTGGAACCCAGATCTTTAAAGAAAAATCACACAGGAACACAAATACACACACCCACACATGTACATATCACTGTCAAGGGTAACTTAGTAGAACCTTGCTGAGGGATTGGGGGAGCTGGTTACGGTTGTCAACATGTATTCCCCACTTTGGGTAAATCTGACAGACTAGCCTTGTTTTTCTCAAATTCCAGAGTCAAGCTTTCAATATGGTTTGTTTTCTTTGCTGGTGTGCGTGAATCTCTGAGCCATAACTGGGGCGTCGGGTGAAATGATGGAGTCTTTGACTATTCACAGGCAATTTTAAAAAGTCCATTCCAACCATCTCATGCACCAGGTGAGACAAGGCGAAGGGGCCTCGGGAGACACCGCCTGTGGCCAGCCTATTTCTGCAGTCCCTGTCCGGCACATTCCTGTATTTCATTGGTCACTTAACGCTTCTCCATAGCTCCCCCATGGGGAATCAACACCCAAAAAGTGATTTGTGTAAACCGGAATCTCCTTTACATGCTCATTGATAGGGATGAACAAGGAAGCACCCCTGGAAGAGGTAACCTACTCACTTAAGTTTTAAGGTATCAACATGAATCCAAAGAGAACGATTTAATCAAGGGAGGACTGAAGGAGAGGAGAAAACAGAAGAGACACAGCAGAGGGCAGTGGATGAAGAGGGCGAGGTGGAAGTCACGGAAGCTGAGGGACAGCTACTTACAGTTCAGGACCCGAACTGGCGCCAGGAATGGACTCCAAGGTGTGAGGGCCCAGCTTCTTTCTGCCCTTCCCCCACAGGATGCAGAGACCAAACTGGAATCCAAGGGATGAGGGCACAGCTCCCCCACCCAACCCACCCACCTCCCAACATGCAGAGCCCAAGGCAGCAAAATGTCTTGGCTCAGGCTAACGTCAGAACTGGTCTGGTTTCCTGTGTTTTTCGAATCTGTCATTTGGGCAGAACTCTTGGTCCTATAAACCAGGAGTCATCAGTATCCACAGAGAGAAGTTGCCTCAGCACTTGGACCCAAGTCAACTGTTGTTTAAAATTTCCCACCAAAGCTATAAATTACACATCCACATTGTGGGCCAACCTGCCTTTTTTCAAATAGTATTTAAGGTATTTTTCAATACCTTGCTGCTTGGCAACTGAAGCTCCCATTCTGCCACCCCTCCCCCTCCTCAGTTCGGGCATCACCTGAGGGACCCCAAGAGCATCAGGGATGTGGCCCCTCTGAGATCTTGCTGGTCTGCTCAAGCCTTTCTATGGCACCAAGCAACGAAATTAAATGTGGGACATGCACCATCATAGACCAACTTTTTAATCGCTTAATTAAATCAGAGATTTAAGGAAGGAAGGATTCAAAAGAGTTCCCTTTGGATGAGAAAAATAAGGATACACCAAAATGGGTAAAGTTACTCATCATCGGAAGAAAGCCCTTGATATTTACATATGATAAAGATGCAGGCCAGTATAGTAAAATCAATAAGAACAGTCTTTAAAATTTTTATTCGGTATATTCATGAGATTTTCTTATACAGGTAGTACTATAAAGGACATAGAAGACCTCATTATCCAACTTAATTCAGAGCAGAGTTAGATTAAAAAAAAAAAAAGCCAAAAAACTACCACACAGGACAAAGAAATTGTCGTAACACTGAGTTCCTATAAATGTGTTCCAGTTTAAGTAAATAAGCCCCTAAAATGAGCCTTAGGAGTCTACGCTGCGTATAGACAGACTCAGGCACATCAAGTATACAGGTGACAATTAGCAAGTGTATAAAGCTATGGCTATTTTGCTAAATGTGTAAATCTAAAGGCAACCAAGTAAAAGACCTAAAAAAGGAAACTGTTAAATCCATTTGTACATGGATTTAACAGTGAAGCATTTCATTCTTCATATTTTTACTTGGTGTCTTGAAATAATCCCCTTTCTGTCTCCACTCTCCCTCTTAGACACTGCTCCCGCCTTATTTATTTATGAAGTCTGAAGGTTAGTCCTACCTGCTGAGACTAATTAGCCCTGTGCTTTGTATCCTATGCAATCCTGTCTGATTAAATGTACACATTTGTTTTACTTCTTTTCGGGCTCCTTCTCACTCTACTTCTGATATTCTGATTAATATTAAGGTTGGGAGTTACAGTGATTCTCCTCTGCCTCCCCCCCAACCCATTTTTATTTTGCCTGCATCTTATTCTTTAGTGTGCAAATGTGGTTGTGAATTTTTTCCAGTGCAGGGGAATTCATTGGCCTTGTCAATCTTGGTATCATTATTTTTAGTAGTCTTCTTTCTGAGACCTTAGCCTATAAAACAGTTTTGCTGAAACCCCAAACTCTCTAAATATTACATGGCAAATTTGCTTTCTTTTGGAAATCTCGGTGCTGATGGGCCAGCTGAAGTGCAGGTGAGCTTTTTCAGGAAAGGGTGGGATTACATTCTGGACTCTAGATTAATACGGCTCCTGAGAGGCAATTTGCTAAATCCTACTGATTTATTTCTTTTTTCTTTTTTTCTTTCTCATGTTGTAGTGTCCAGTCTACCTCTTACCACATATCTACAAAAATGAATCTTCTTGCTGTATCACCCAGCAACACTGTGTTTTGGGAGCCGGGCCTTTCCTTTTTAACATAATCCCATTCCCCATTTTGTAGCAAATCAGTCTGCTCCTCCTCTAGTAACTAAAAGTCAACAAATACCTGCCTCAAGCCCCAGGTTTCCCATCTTCTCCCAGAGGTCTCCCAGCATTGGTTTGGTTAGCAATTTCCTGCCACAGCCACCTACGTCTTGATTATTTGGTCAGTCTTTAGGGGATTTCATTTCAGATCCCCTTCGAAAAAAAACTGCAGCCCAACTGATCCCAGGGGCCCGGTGAACTTTCAGTTTTATTTTTCCCTGGCGGTGTTAACGCCCAAACTTTTCACCTCCGAAGTCAAAAAGGACTTTGACTCTAGCTCATATCCTACCAGCTCCAACGTCAGTTAAAAAAAAAAAACAACAACCCACTAAAATACCACTCTACATGTAAAATAATCCTATATTTTTTCCTTAAGGATACTTTTAATGTCTCTGACATTTAGTATTTGTTTTTTGGATAAAAAGTCATTTTGGCATATTTATCCTAGTCGGACTTAACATTTCCTGAAGTGATTCACTACTGTACTAATAAACAAAAAAAGGAGGAGGGAGGCCTCATGGGTTAATAGTTTCTTTCATTGTAGATGACCAGGAACTTTGACCAGCTCCTTCACTTCTCCAAGCTCTCTGAAAGTGGCGGGTTGATTTTTCCTTTTGACCACCTCTGTCGCATGCCGCCCAAGGGTGGCTGATTCTTCTGCTGAATTAACCACCAAGCCCCCCCCTCCGCGCAAACCCCGCCCCCAGCCACCACTTTCTCACAATTCTACCCTTCCTTTTCCCCTCTCTTAAGACTTATTTCTAATATTTCTAAAGTGCACTTTTTCTGGGCCTCTCCCCTTCCCCGCCCCCCAAGTGGGCTTTCCTTCCGCCTTCCTCGGCTCGGATTCCTGACTTGGTCGCCACCCCCTTCTCCTCCTCTCCCACCCCGCATTGTCTTTCTGAAACCGCCCCCTCCCGGAGCGAGTCCCTGCACCCTCGCCCAGAATCCCGGGCTCACACACACTCCGCGCAGGCCGCTCCCCCTGCGCACTCCTCCCTCCGTCTCCCCCCTGCTTCCCCGCCCCTCTCCTCCTCCTTTCCCTCCTCCCTCTCCCGGAGCCCGAAAGGATCATTGTTAGCCGCCCCCGCCCCGCCCACCCGGGCTGTTTATTTATGCACACGTCACCGGGCCGGCCCCGCCCTCCGGCATCTCATTAAGGCAGTGTGTTCCTCTCGCCCTGTCAATAATCTCCGCTCCCAGACTACTCCGTTCCTCCGGATTTCGATCCCCCTTTTTCTATCTGTCAATCAGCGCCGCCTTTGAACTGAAAAGCTCTCAGTCTAACTTCAACTCACTCAAATCCGAGCGGCACGAGCACCTCCTGTATCTTCGGCTTCCCCCCCCTTTGCTCTTTATATCTGACTTCTTGTTGTTGTTGGTGTTTTTTTTTTTTTTAACCCCCTTTTTTTATTTATTATTTTTTTGCACATTGATCGGATCCTTGGGAACGAGAGAAAAAAGAAACCCAAACTCACGCGTGCAGAAGATCTCCCCCCCCTCCCCTCCCCTCCTCCCTCTTTTCCCCTCCCCAGGAGAAAAAGACCCCCAAGCAGAAAAAAAAGTTCACCTTGGACTCGTCTTTTTCTTGCAATTTTTTTTCGGGGGGGCAAAACTTTTTGGGGGTGATTTTTTTTGGTTTTCTTCCTCCTTCATTTTTCTTCCAAAATTGCTGCTGGTGGGTGAAAAAAAATGCCGCAGCTGAACGGCGGTGGAGGGGATGACCTAGGCGCCAACGACGAACTGATTTCCTTCAAAGACGAGGGCGAACAGGAGGAGAAGAGCTCCGAAAACTCCTCGGCAGAGAGGGATTTAGCTGATGTCAAATCGTCTCTAGTCAATGAATCAGAAACGAATCAAAACAGCTCCTCCGATTCCGAGGTAGGAAAAGCCCCTCGGGCTGGTGGGGTTTTTTTTATCTGTTTCCTGGGCTTGGCAAATGTTGCTGAAAGGGGAGAAATCGGGGCTGGGGGCGGCGGCGGGGCCCGGCGGGCGGCGTGTGCGTGCGGTGCCACCATTGCAAAAACTTGTAACCCTGTTTTTTCTACCCCCCCACCCCGACCTCGCCGATTCTTTTTCTCCCCCTTCTCCCCCCTCTGCGTGGCGTTTGCCCCTCGCCCTCCCCACCTCCACCCCTCTGGGAAGGCGGAAAGACGGCCTCCGCCTCGCTCCGAAAGTTTCCGAGATAAATCCCGGGAAAGTTTGGAAGAAGGTGAGTACGCCCCGCGCGCCCCGCAGCCGCCCCCCGGGCCGGCCGCCCTTCCCGCGCGCCCTGGCCCCGCGCCCCGCTCGGCCCGGCCCCGCGCCGGCCCGACCGGGGCGCCCGGCCCCTCGGGGCACTTTCTAAAAAGTTTCTCCTCGCTCTCTCCCGCTCCGCGCGGCCGCCGCCGTCCCCTCGCCGCCCCGCCATGTTAGCGGCCAAGAGGCAAGATGGAGGGCTCTTTAAGGGGCCACCGTATCCCGGCTACCCCTTCATCATGATCCCCGACCTGACGAGCCCCTACCTCCCCAACGGATCGCTCTCGCCCACCGCCCGAACCGTAAGTGCCTCCGCGCCCGGCCCCCCGCCCGCTGCCCGCCCGCCCGCGCCGCCCGCCGGGCCCTGCATGCGGCCCCTGCCCTGCCCCCTCCCCGCCTCCCCCTCCCCGCCTCCTCTCCTCCCTCCCTCCCCTCCCCCGCTCGTGGCCCAGGCGGCCCGAAACTCTCCAAACTTTTCTGCCTTTTGTGGACTGGATTTGTTTGCACTTCGCCACGTTCTTGCTTTCAGTTTGCTGCCTCGTGATGTTGGGGAGACCTCTCTGTCCAAGCAGGGCTTTGTTGTGGGGGGGGGGGTCCGAAGAACTTTTCTTTTGCGCTCTGGTTCCCCCTCCCCCTTTGGTGGCGGTGGTTGTTTCTTCACCCTGGGAAGATGACTGTGTGGCTCTTTCTTTGCTCTCTCTCCTTCTCTTCCTTCCCTCTTCTGTGGCGTCTTGGGCTTTCCCGGTTAACCCCTTGGCTGCCGCTGCGGGCCCCGAGTGACTGTGCTGCGCCCGACGCCCGGGGTAGAGAGTGGGTTTCCTCCAGGCGTTGGACTTGAGAACTGGCGAGCGCGCAGAGCCGGGGGCTCTGGAGAGGCGTCTTGGCTTTCTCTTAACGGGCGGCTGTGTATTTAGCTTTCTAGTGGCGATCGCGGGCTCTCGGCCCTCCTTCCTCCTTCCACTGGAAGGTCACACTTCCCAGATTGGTCCCACCGCAAACTTGGGGGCTCTGAGGAGCCCTTTTCTTTGGCAACCCGCAGGGCCGCAAGCGCCCTGGGCGCCGTGGCGGGCTCGGCTGCCTGGTGCGCTGGCTGAGGGCTCTCCTGGGCCGCGCGGGGCAGCGGGGCAGAGCGGGGCGGGGAGGCCCCTGCAGCCCGGGTTCTGGGTTTGCGTGCAGCCGGATGGCTTCCTCGGAGCAGACTTGTGTATTTCTAAGGAATTTTGGCGCCTTGGTTTGTATGGCGGGGTCTGCGCTCGCCAGCTTCCGTGTAGGCCCTTCGTGGGCCCTGGGGGGGCCAGAGACCAGGGCGTTTGGGCTCAAGGAGGTTCAGGGGCCGAGGGAGGCGGGGCGCCTCTCCTTCCAGGGAGTGGGTCGCCAATCGCCGGCCAGCCAACTTTGGGGGCCCCAGGGCAGCGCGGGGTGCCGGGCTCCGGGGGCGCTTCCTGCAGCGTCCGTCCCGCGCCCCAACCCTGACATTTGTTAAGACGGCTCATCCCCTCCCCCACCGGCCTCTGCCCCCTGCCCTCACCCTGAACCCCCTCCTCCTCATCCCTCCCTCCCTCTTCTAAGAAGCCTGGATTACGAATCTCTGGACGCAAGACGCGTTTGTGCCCGGCTTCCCGGGATTGCCATTTTACACCTTCTCCGGTTTGGTCCCCATACCCCTTATTTACACACACGACTTTTGTTTTTTCTTTTTCGGTAACTCTAGATAGCAATTTGAAATAACGCACCCACTGTTCAGCAGCCGTGGATTCGGTGCTAATGGCCGAGGGCTTGCCGGACGGGAGTCGATCAGATCTACAAGTGTTTTTAAGCATTAAAATATTAACTATCAGGTTTGACTTGTTTTTTTGGGCCCTGGCAAAATGGCAAGGGCATACTAGACCGGTCATTTTTTATGGCTAGGGAAGAGAAATAATTATTCCCCCCCTGCACAGCGCCCAGGCGTGCTTGGGAAGCTGGGAGAGCGGTTCGGCCCGACCCCCTCCTGCAAGGCCAGCTCCACCAGGCTGCAGGGGCCGCGCTCTGGGCTTGCAGCTGTAGGGGAAGCACAGCCCGCTTACTTTGTATTTTTCTTGGGAGCTCGTGTGGCATCTTAAACGGGACCGTTGGGCTCAGAATCGCAGTATTCGCCTACCAATAAACCGGACCAAGCAACATTCCAAAGAATTCCAGAGAATTTCTGCCTCTCCTCCCCTCCCCCTTCCGATGGAAACCTCCCTGGTATTATTTTAAAATCCACTTAGCTATCTGAATATTGAGCTTTGATGGCTGGCTTGCCAGCTTTCTTGACTCCTTTTAAACTCCCTGTCTGATGCTGGCAATCTTGCCATCCCTTCTCAAACTTGAGCAGTTGTGTTGTGCTGTAATTAGCAAACAGGGAAATTGTTAAAGGCAAATAAATGATTTCCCGGTGAGAAAAGGAAGGCTCCCAATGATCGGTCCCTTTTGTGGGCATTATAGGAATAGACGGCGTCTAGTTATTTTAATTGTGGACATAGCGGGTGGCCTGGTGCTGTGACATCAGGTTGAGTCTGAGAAGACATTTCTGAACTCAGTAGGCAGTTTTAGTATTTACATGTCAAACACCAGCAGACATCTTTGTGTACACTGCCCCTTCTTCCTTCCTCTCTGTTACCTGGGCTAGATTATGTGCTCCAAAATTAAAGTTATTTATTTAGGCTGGTCAGCAGAGCAGTGGAAATAAGGACGGTAGGCTGTTGTGTGTCACTCCTGACGTCTTCAATCAGAGGGCCAGCTTGCAATTCCAGATTTGATACAGCTGCGGGAGGAATGGAGGCATCTGTGTAGCAAGATAGCGGGCTTCCCATGCTCTTCTGAAATTCTTAGTGCTTTACAGGGTGTGTTTTTAATGGCAAGGTGTGAAGACAAATTCGTTGTATGCTTTATTCTTTTCCCTTTACTCCTTGGTCATGGTGATTTTTGCTACATTTTCTGTTACTTATGATGTACCTGTAAGCAGCTGCATCTTTAAAAGCAAACTCTCTGGAACCCTGATTTCTGCTTTTTAATTTAAGAATGTAAAGAATTAGAGAGTATCATTAAATCGGCTTATGATGAATAATACATTATCTCAAGAATAATGCTTTAATTGCTGAAGATGCCATAAAGCTTGATAGTAATAATTTTATTTTAAAACGACAAAGATTTCTGCGTAATATTAATTTAGTCTTTGATACAGTAATAGGAATGGCTTTTAAAAAGACAGATTCAGATGCAAAAGTGCATTAAGGAGAGGTCTAGTTAAGTAGATGGGAAGTGTTAGAACTGCAAATATTAGAATTGTGGTAACATTTGTATACTAAAGATAAGACTACTGTAACCTATTAAAGTTGATTGGAAAAAGTAGTTTTATATTTCTTTTTCCGTCCTGGCAAAGGGGAGAGAGGAATACGGTGGTTGAAATTCCAGTTCGGTTTGAAATTTCTTTTTAAGGACTTGATTATTCGAGTCCTTGCATCTTCTCTTATCCAAAGTTATTTGCTTTTCAGCTGAGCTGTTTGCTACTAGGTTGAATAGATAAATAAGCTGCATCTTGAATTCATTTTTGAACTTGGAATCCAGCATTTAAAGGAAACTGAGAGGGGCCTATTCATTGGGGTTTTATTTAGCCGGGCAATTTCTCTTTTTGGTTTGTGAAAAATGGATGTTTTCTCCTCACTGAAACGACATAACCCTTTCTAATACAAAAGATGTAGACCTCGGAGTGTGAAGGGTTAATGGTGGTCCTTCCCAGTTGTCCTCCCACCCCCCCACCTCACCCCTGATTGTTTTGACAACACTTTTCAAAGTGTGACATTCCAAGCCCCTACATAACAATGTAATATTACTGTAATTACACAGGTCATTACATTTTAAATAGAGAACAATAAAATGCTTATCGCCCTGAAAAAGAACAGGTGTTCTTGCCCTTCTTTGGTATTTATGCTAATTGTTTTTCATCTCCTTCAGAAATATTTATGGCGAACATGTTTAGATTTCAATCTCAAAGCAACCATACTAATTCCATGCTAATCTTTATAGGTTAGGGTTTAATGTCTGCAGTATGGATTATAGGCTCAACATTCACCCAATAAGTCATATTGTAATGATTATAAATTAAATATGCCAGCGCTTTCCACTTTGTTGATATTGAAACTTTCTGAAACCCCAGAAACAAACTCAGGCATTTGGGAGCCTAACAAACGGGCTTATCTGGAAGATGTGTTTTTGGAAACTTTGACTGTTTCAGGGAAGGAGCTTTGACTGATGCCCTCCATGTCTGCTTGAGGAGGAATGAGGAAAACAATCCTCGTTCTTGCTAGGAGTTGTTTTCACCTTGATTTTAATTTTACTGATAGGGATTTCATTTAGAGTCACTGCTGGAAGTTGGTCAGCTTTCTGTTTCTTAGCAAGCTGTGAAAAAGTTACCGGAAGGTTTCCGGGGGCTTTGCAGATCAAGAATGCTGTTCTGTTTGCAGTGCTGGATCGCTGCAGTTCTGCAAGGCATTAAAAATATATATTTGCTTTAGAAAACTAGCATTTTAATAGTTGCACCAAAGGCTGTGCTTTTAAAGATTACAGTAGAAGTCTTTCCAGGTTTTGAGTGTCTCCTTACATCCCATGAGGTGCCCCTGGCTGTGTGCAGAAAGTGCCTAGATTTCTCGGTGGAGAAATCCTGGTGCAACTTCTCTTACACACGTGCAGTGGGTGAACTAGAAGGTATCTAAGAGGATTTTACATTTTGTCAGATGTTTCACAACAGACTCCCCCAAATTACATTAACAATGCACTGTAGAGAAAGGACAGCTGCACATTTTTGTGTGGACGCGTGTTTTTGGACCATGACTAAAACTCTGAGGACCTTTCCCCCAGCTGTCTGGAAGTTATGTGGAAGTTGGTTTATTGGCAGTTAAGTATGAGACAACCTGGATTTAGCAAATGCTCTCTCCTGTACAGGAAGTAGATGACATTATGTTGGGGGAAGGGAAATTTCAGGCAAGGAGTGATTTACTCTTTTTTGTTTGTTTGTTTTAAACGATGGAGTTGCCAAATAAAAAATAAGCACTTTCCAGGGAAGTAGGTGTAAGCTTTTTAGTCTTGTTGAGTAGTATTAGATAATATCTTTGACCGCATTTATAATTCTTTTGAGGTGACACATTTCAAAGTTGAGAAAAGGAGGCTGAACCAAATTCTTGAGGGTCTTTTTTCGAAGGTGTGTGTGTGTGTGATGTGGGCATCTGAGTTTCTTTTGGGAGTGAATATTGGCAACCATGTAAGTCAATCTTCAACTCTGACTTATAATTGAGCACATTTGTGAAGGAAATGGTTAATTTTACAACCAAAGGCAAACTTGCACCTCGACAGGTCTGCTGAAAGAAATGTGCCCCAGTCTTTTGCTGGCAAGCGTACCACCAGGTCATAAATCCACAGGCTTTATTTACGGCCCATAACACTTATGAATGTTAAGATATTTGACGCCACGTTGGCCTTATAATATTCAAGGTCCGCAGACATTGGCAGTAGCTCAAATTTCTCTCACTAATTATAAGCAATGAGATTGGGGGGGTATCCCAACGCAAATGCTGCCGTCCCTTCTCCACTGACCCCCACCTCTGCAATCTGAGTTTACTGAGACAGACACCACTCCTTTGGCAGCTGACTTGTACGTTTCCTCTAGGCTATTGTTATATACATATATAAAGAGCACTTTCAGGGATGGAAATTCAGTGGGGGCCGTGCACAAATGCCTTTTTCAAAAGCAAAGTTGCTCTAGGTGTTTGCATCTTTCCCCTTTTCTCCCTTTTTCCTTTCTCTTTTCTTAATCCCCCCAACACCCCCACCTTTTTTTTTTTTTTTTTTTTTTTGAGACTACATTGCCTATATTGTGCATTTTCTCCAAGAATACCTAAAGAAACCTAGTATGGGAGACGGTTATTTAATTTATATGTTCCCCTGAGCTGGAAGGGAAAATATACACATTACATAGTACACTAGTTAACATGAGAGTTTTTTAAAAACATGAGGTGAGGTGAAGAGAGTTATTAAAAGAATGCAATAGGTGAGGGGGAAAAAATCTAGGTTTACATCGGGGATAGGAGAGCTGCTTATTTGTGAAAAATGTGCTGGTATCTGGGGGAGGAGGCACAGAAAAGTAGCCAGAGGAGACAGAATAAATGCCTAAGAGAGATTAGAAAAGTATAATACAAGAGGACAAAGATTTGGGCTTGGGGGAATTGAAATTGGAGATTGGAAGTTTCCTTTTGGAGGGGCGTGGGAGGACCCTGGACTGAGCTATTAAAAAGGGATATTGCTTTGCTCAGCAAAGATGGGTTGCAGTCCCTTCATTACCCAGGGTGTTCTACCTAGCCACAGATGTGTTTCCTATCAGTTATGTGTAAGCATTTGGGGGTGGGGCATTATCTGTGGTGGAGACTGGAGTGTGGGAGAGAAAGGCCGGTTGCCCTACTGATTTGAATTTATGTCTAAAAAATGGGCTGTTCCGGTGTATTACAAACCGACTGTGCGGTATAGTGGGGGAAGTGGGATTCAGAGCTGTTTGCCAGGCCACGAGAGATGATGGCTCTGTCATTTTGACTGGGTCCTTCCTTCCATCCAACCCAACTTAAAGACCCAGGCCGAAAGGTTTTCTTTTCTAATCAATGGCATGTAGAAACTTACTAGCCCTCAGGGATAGAAGTGAATCCCTAAACAGCTCATTACAAAGATGGGGCTGTGGGATCTTTGAACGGGTTATCAGCCGAGGTGTTCTTCGGTTTTCCCATGATAGGTTTTTCTTCCTTAGGCACATCTGATTTCGGGCTGGTAATTCGACCTGTTATATTTTATTCTTTTTGTCATGAAGTAGCCCAACCAGGCAGGTCTACGGAGGAAGGAATGGCCAGGAGTGGGATCAGCCCTGAAGGAGTTAAAATTGCTCCCTAAAGTTTGGCATCATGAAAATAAATTTGAGGCCTGGTAGGCATTAGCAGGGCACAGCACATTTACAGAGCTTAATTAGTACGCACTGTAATTGTTCATGGTCTGCCAGAAGAAGTAATGT